TCTCTACCCCTCCCCCGCTCATTCTCTCTCTCTCTCCCCGCCCCCCACAAAATAAATAAACTTGAAGGAAAAACAAGACACACAGATCTCACACACTCTTTCCCAGATCTGTCTGCTAAGCCTGGAGGGAATGGCAGTCCTGGAACAATGAACACATCCAACCCCTGGATCTTGGTATCCAAATCCCATTCTTAGGGGGAACTGGCTTCCTTGAGGAAATGACTGCCTCTGGGGCCAGGGTGGAGGGACGACAAGATGAGCCTGAACTCTCGTGTCAGAAAGCGAGAGGGGCTCAATCAACTACCGGGATGCATCAAAGGGACACAAGAGCTGGCACGGGGACACTCGAATTGGCCAAACTGGGGGTCATTTGAACACGCAAATAAATGACAATAACGGAGTAGAACCCCCTGATTAAATGGGAATCCATGACTGCCTACCGAAGCAAAAAATTAAACAGGGAGAAGGGAAAGAACTGCTTTGCACCCAGTATCCCATCTGTGGTATTTGCACCAAAAATACGTCACTAAAAAAATCCCGAGAATTAAGACTAACCTATATTGAGGACTTTCTACAAAATAACTGTACTTCCCCCCAAAAGGAAAAATTATAAAAGAGAGGACTGAGGAACAGAGGACTGAAGACTCAAGAGTCAGGATAGTAAGATTGGGGGGAAGGGGGTGGTTCCTGAGCCAGAAAGAGGGAAGGAAGATTCGCGTATTGCTCCCAGTGGTAGTTTTTTCTGTAAAGAACATTTTTGAGACAGTCAACGAAATTTGGGGATTTGTGGATTAGATGGTAGTATTGTATCAATATTAATTTCCTAGTTTTGATTGGTACAATGTGGTTATATAGAAAGTCCTTATTTGGGGGGAATACATATTGAAGTATTTAGGGGTCATGGGACACACTGTCTGCAATGTATTCAGACAGATGGGTGGATGGAGAGGTATATGGGCAGATGGATGGATGGATGGAGGGAGGGAGGGAGGGATAGAGGGATGGGCAGGTGGGTGGCCAGGC